TGTCTCTCATGAATAAATAAATAAAATCTTTAAAAAAAAATAAAAATAAAAAAGCCCACAGACTCTTTGTTATCTCATTACCTGTACCCATTTTTTTTTTTTATGTTTTATTTATTTATTTGAGAGAGATAGCTAGAGAGAGCAAGGGCAGGGAGGAGAGGGAGAAGCAGGCTCCCCACCAAGCAGGGAGCCCTACTTGGGGCTCCATCCCAGGACTCTAAGATCATGACCTGAGCCGAAGGCAGATGCCCAATGTACTCAGCCACCCAGGAGCCCCACCCATACCCAATTTGATAATAAAATATTTAAGGTAGTTTTTACCTTAGGCCAATTTTTAAAAACTCTTTATTGAGGTGTAACATGCACAGAAGTGTACATTTCATCAATGTAGAGCTTGATAAATTTTCACGGCCGAACAGATTGATGTAACTGGTGTTCAAATCAAGAAATAATATTATTAACCATCTAAAAAGGCTAATTCTTCAATATAATCATAGACTTCAATAAACTTCAGAGACTTAGATACTGGATCTAACTTTATTACTAACTTCATTTGTTACCTTGAGCAAGTAATTTTCTTTTTGGGGTCCATTCCCCATTTCTACAGTGAGAGGGTAAAACTAGATGTTTTGTTATGGCTCTAATTCTATAAAAGTGCAAAACAATGTACTATAATGATATAAATGGGGTATCAAAGGTTGTAGGTAGTAGAGTGTGAATGCACAGTTTAATTGAAAAGGAAGACACTGATTTCTCTCTCTCTCTCTCTTTTTTGTTTTCCAGGTTATATTTCACACTATGTGCTGACTGTATCTACAGAAGATATTTAAAAAAAAAAAAAAAACTTTTTTCAAAGATTTTGATTCCAGTGGAATCTTTGCTTTAGATTATTTTGTGTGTGTGTGTGTGAATTGTAACTCCAGTAACAATGCCTGTACAAGCTCCACAATGGACAGATTTCCTCTCCTGCCCGATTTGCACTCAGACCTTTGATGAAACAATTCGAAAGCCCATCAGTTTGGGTTGTGGCCATACTGTCTGCAAGATGTGCCTGAATAAGCTCCACCGCAAGGCTTGCCCCTTTGACCAGACCACTATCAACACAGACATTGAGCTCCTCCCCGTGAACTCAGCACTGCTGCAGCTAGTGGGTGCTCAGGTAAGATGGGTGACTTACTGTTGTTTTTAATTTCTGAGTGTATGTGTTTTCCTCCTAAGGGAAACTTGTTGAATTAAAATTGGGCAACGTTGCGTTCTATCTAAATAGATAAAATTCTATTCAGTACTGTGCAAATCCTTTATTTCAGTGTGTTGGGAGATGGATTGTGGTAGTGGAGTGTTCCTCGGTCATAGCGCAGGAACAGCCATTCAATCTGGTGCTCAGCCTTTCTCAACAATCTGAGCTGTTCAGATCACTAGAGAAACCTAAAGGACCTCTTAATATTGAGGAAAATATTACTCATATAACCATTGCATTTTACTTAATAGGAAAAGTGAAGCTACTTCAGTTTTCCTTAGTAGACACTAACTGAAATGAAAGATGAAGATGGTGACAAGAACTATAGAGCATATTGGGAACCATTTTTCTAGAATAGGAGCAAATATTCCTAGGTATCTAAATATAAAAGTTAGTCTAGCAAGTCTGATGGTAATACTCTAAAATTTAATGTCTGTATTCTCAAATTTAGAGATTAGTAGTATCTTCAGAAGATTTCACAAAGCCAAGGGAGGCAGGTTTTTGAAAGCTAGATATGATTTACCTAAGTAATCCTTTTCTTTAAAAGATTTTATTTATTTATTTGACAGAGAGAGACACAGAGAGAGAGGGAACAGAAGCAGGGAGAGTGGGAGAGGGAGAAGCAGGCTTCCCACGGAGAAGGGAGCCCGATGTTGGGCTCGATCCCAGGACCCTGGGATCATGACCTGAGCAGAAGGCAGACACTTAACGACTGAGCCACCCAGGCGCCCCTACTTAAGTAATCCTTTACTAAATTTGCATAGTGTGAGTCTGAAATGCCATATATTTACCATAAATCATTTTCTGAATGAATATACTGGAACTTTGGATCTGGCCCCATTAATGTTCTCTAGATCAGTCTTTTTTTTTTTTTTTTTAAAGATT